CACCTGGACATGAGCAGGAGAGGACTCTTTAAAGTAGAGACACTACATACTGATATACACCTGAACATCATCAGGAGAGGACTCTTTAAAGTAGAGACACTACATACTGATATACACCTGAACATCATCAGGAGAGGACTCTTTAAAGTAGAGACACTACATACTGATATACACCTGAACATCAGCAGGAGAGGACTCTTTAAAGTAGAGACACTACATACTGATATACACCTGAACATCATCAGGAGAGGACTCTTTAAAGTAGAGACACTACATACTGATATACACCTGAACATCAGCAGGAGAGGACTCTTTAAAGTAGAGACACTACATACTGATATACACCTGAACATCAGCAGGAGAGGACTCTTTAAAGTAGAGACACTACATACTGATATACACCTGAACATCAGCAGGAGAGGACTCTTTAAAGTAGAGACACTACATACTGATATACACCTGGACATCAGCAGGAGAGGACTCTTTAAAGTAGAGACACTACATACTGATATACACCTGGACATCAGCAGGAGAGGACTCTTTAAAGTAGAGACACTACATACTGATATACACCTGAACATCATCAGGAGAGGACTCTTTAAAGTAGAGACACTACATACTGATATACACCTGAACATCATCAGGAGAGGACTCTTTAAAGTAGAGACACTACATACTGATATACACCTGAACATCAGCAGGAGAGGACTCTTTAAAGTAGAGACACTACATACTGATATACACCTGAACATCATCAGGAGAGGACTCTTTAAAGTAGAGACACTACATACTGATATACACCTGAACATCAGCAGGAGAGGACTCTTTAAAGTAGAGACACTACATACTGATATACACCTGAACATCAGCAGGAGAGGACTCTTTAAAGTAGAGACACTACATACTGATATGCCTCTTGTAGGGCAGAACGGTCGTACAGCTAACCTTTGTTGTGTTTCTGCAGAACATACAAGTGGGTTTTGTTGAGAGGTTTTTTACCCAGTGAAGGGAGTGGAGATAAGAGATAAGAGAAAAGAGAGGGAGGCCATCTTGATACGGACCCGTTCAGCCAATCTCACTGCAGAGAAACAGAACCTCTGACTCGCTTCTGTAAAATGTATGAAAGCGAGATCCAAGTGTTTGAAATGTGATCCAAATCTTAAATCCCTCCTCCAACAATGCAACATCATATATATAATATACAGGACATTTCACTCCTAATGACTCATTTAACGCCAAACTGGGATTTTCTTTCGTTGCAGCAGAATGAAAAACAAGTTTTGCTCATAATTAGAAACAACAAAACAGTCGAACATTTAAAATATACAATATAAACATCTCAAAATAGCAGATAAAGCTAAAAGAGTGACAGTATAACAGAAGATACTACATGTAAACTATCCGACATATAAAACACTATTGAAAGCTCAATGACTGCTAACACTAAATAAACGGGGGATATTTTGTACATTTAGTGTGCAAAGAACGGCGTATGGAATTGGATATAAATGTGTAATGGACAGTCCAAATTGTCATTGTCGGTCAAACACTGATGGAGTTTTCTAATGTCCTGGAAATGTGGCACTGGGGAGGAGGAGAGACTTTAGAGACTCATGCATTCTTAGCTTATTGTATTCAGAGGTGGGAAGTAGTGAGGTATGAAATACTTTTTGCACTTTTATTGTCATCACAGGTACGATGTAACAAAACGGTTTCTCTGCATTTGACCCATCCTCGTGTTCGGAGCAGTGGGCTGCCATTATGAACGGCGCCTTGCTCAGGGACACCTCGGTAGCACTTGGTCTTGGTGGGACTTGAACTGGTGACCTTCCAGTTGCCAAGCCAAGTCCCTATGGACAGCACTGATACCAGATTATTCTGATAATAATAATAATAATTCCTTACATTTATTATAGCGCTTTTCCAACAACTTCCTGTCAATAGTGTAAACTCGCCTTCAAAATAAAAGCATCTCAATAAAACAGGAAGTTAACCTAAATTACATTTAAGACATACTGCAACAAAAGTAATAAAACAATGTAATATCCTTTTCAGTTTCACAGAACACAAATCGTACTATGATACGATGGCTACACGACAGCATTGCGAGGGCTTCACGTAGTCGTGTTGCCTTCCTAAGACAATCGAGCAGCTTCTTGTTTCCTTCCTATTGTCTTCGTGAGGCGAAAAATGCCCGCTGGCACCGATGATCACACGAAGTAAACACGAAGATGACACGATTTGACACGATGCCCTCACGATGGCCTTACGAAGGGCAAAATGGACACACGAATTCAACACGAAAATGAACCTTCGCAAGGTCTTTCGGCAATTTTTTGGCATGCCAAAGATTTTGCCACCGCTCACGAAGTTGCTGCCGGAGCCTGAGAAACTCCACCGGCGGTCATACGATGCCTTAAGATGTTGTTACGATCAGAGCCGAATTTGAACATTTCCTTTATCGTGTGTCCATCTGGTGTACATTTCGGGACAGTGTGACACGGGCTTTAAGATGTACATTGCCATATCTACATATAAATAAAGCCTCTGAATCCTTTGAGTTTCAGGAGAGGGTTGAGTACAAACCTATTGGGTCTGTGAGGTGAAGACTGGGTGGAAAAATAAAAGATGTTTATAATATATAATTCTTTATTTTCTACTCTTTTTGTATTTCTTATCATGTGCAATACTTGTTTTTCATTCTGCTGCAAAAAAAACATTTCCCAATTTGGGATTAATAAAGTGTATCGTATCTTATTGACAGTATTACACCATTTACCTCTGAATTGTTATAATTGTAATAAATAGTAAATACAGACATCGTAACTGAGTCATGTCTGTTTATATATTATTATATATATTATGTTGCATTGGAGGAGCCTTGGACTCTAGATTTACATTGCCATAGCTACACTGTAACTACTGTGTACACGACAATAAAGCCTTTGAATTTGAGGAGAGTGTTGAGTAACTACAGACCTATTGACTCTGTGAGGGGGTGGAAAAATAAGAAATAAAAACACATATGGATGAGAGGAATATGTTGTCCTCAGAGAGAGACGTCCAACACCCTCCACAACACCTCTAACAGCAGTGCAGGAACTATTGATCATTTTGTGGCCCCAAGACATGTCACGGATTAAAAAACAGCCATTATTTTAGCATCCATTCACAGCTCTGTGTTCGCCGTGGAGACATCGCACACACTTTTATTGCATTTAAATCGAATCACTTTGAGTTAAATATGTTTAAGGTAGTGTAATGTTTGAGAGACATTTTTTAATCCCTTCAAATTAGATTTATTAGAATGAATCACACAGCAGTTCATACCTGAACAATGAAATAGATATTTAAGCATTTTATCTCTGGTTAATGTTTGGTTTAATTGAGTGTTCAATAATCTAAAGGTGGTTAATGTTGGGCTATAAAGGAACTACAGCACGGTCACATGACTTCACGTCACCACCGCTAAGCTAAAGGAGGCTAATGTTGGGCTATAAAGGAACTAGAGCACGGTCACATGACTTCACGTCACCACCGCTAAGCTAAAGGTGGCTAATGTTGGGCTATAAAGGAACTAGAGCACGGTCACATGACTTCACGTCACCACCGCTAAGCTAAAGGTGGCTAATGTTGGGCTATAAAGGAACTACAGCACGGTCACATGACTTCACGTCACCTCCGCTAAGCTAAATGTGGCTAATGTTGGGCTATAAAGGAACTAGAGCACGGTCACATGACTTCACGTCACCACCGCTAAGCTAAAGGTGGCTAATGTTGGGCTATAAAGGAACTACAGCACGGTCACATGACTTCACGTCACCGCCGCTAAGCTAAAGGCGGCTAATGTTGGGCTATAAAGGAACTACAGCACGGTCACATGACTTCACATCACCACCGCTAAGCTAAAGGTGGCTAATGTTGGGCTATAAAGGAACTACAGCACGGTCACATGACTTCACGTCACCACCGCTAAGCTAAAGGCGGCTAATGTTGGGCTATAAAGGAACTACAGCACGGTCACATGACTTCACGTCACCACCGCTAAGCTAAAGGCGGCTAATGTTGGGCTATAAAGGAACTACAGCACGGTCACATGACTTCACGTCACCTCCGCTAAGCTAAATGTGGCTAATGTTGGGCTATAAAGGAACTAGAGCACGGTCACATGACTTCACGTCACCACCGCTAAGCTAAAGGTGGCTAATGTTGGGCTATAAAGGAACTACAGCACGGTCACATGACTTCACGTCACCGCCGCTAAGCTAAAGGCGGCTAATGTTGGGCTATAAAGGAACTACAGCACGGTCACATGACTTCACGTCACCACCGCTAAGCTAAAGGCGGCTAATGTTGGGCTATAAAGGAACTACAGCACGGTCACATGACTTCACGTCACCACCGCTAAGCTAAAGGCGGCTAATGTTGGGCTATAAAGGAACTACAGCACGGTCACATGACTTCACGTCACCACCGCTAAGCTAAAGGTGGCTAATGTTGGGCTATAAAGGAACTACAGCACGGTCACATGACTTCACGTCACCACCGCTAAGCTAAAGGCGGCTAATGTTGGGCTATAAAGGAACTACAGCACGGTCACATGACTTCACGTCACCACCGCTAAGCTAAAGGCGGCTAATGTTGGGCTATAAAGGAACTACAGCACGGTCACATGACTTCACTCTCAGACTTTCAGACAAACCCTTATTCGAGGCTTCTAACCAAAAATCATTGACTTACAAACAAGGTAACAGAAATTGCTAAAATGCTGACTCATGTACCGTTAATAAACGTTTATGTACTTGGTGTATTTTGCATGTGTTTTTTTTGTCATTCTTGTGTTGTCAGGACATTCTGTAAAATGAGTCAGATTTCACACGTGTTTCTGTCCTACATTTTTGCAGATAAACATATAATCAGTACTTTTTAAAAGGTTGTCACTTCCCCACCCTGACTGTTTAAATACACTTCTAGATTAAAACTCTCTCTCGTCCACTCACCCCGGTCGGTGTCGTACAGGAAGACGAACTTGTTCCAGTCGTAGTGGTCGAGCAGCGACAGCAGCGCCCCGCGGATCGAGGGTCTCAGCTGCAGAGTGAACTGACTCTCGCCCTCCGTGGGGAAGCTGGGCGTGATGAGGGAGATGTGCAGGGCGCTGCAGAACGACGTCAACGTGTGGACCGAGCGCTTATCATACAGGCCGAAGATGGCGAAGACACCGCGGGAGTACTGGGAGCAAACTGGGGAGGAAGGAGAAAGAACAGTTAATATATGAGAGGATAGTAGGGGACTTCATTGGGCTATATTTAAAGATTTACATGAAATTAAAGTAGTGCGATGAAGGTAACGTTTGAGGATTGGAAGCCAAGGCTAAAAAAGGCTTGAAAATATAACAATTTATAAAAAAAGATATACTATTATTAAAAACCCCTGACACTGTGAGAGTACTGGGAGCAAACTGGGGAGGAAACAGAATGTTAATGAATGAGACGTTAGTGGGGGTGTTACAGTTGTTTTCGGTTGCTAACACACTAAAATGTCACATAAAGCACAATTATTTAAACTCACACTCAACGAGCAGAACCTCAGCCCAAATCTCCAAAACTCCAAACACATTTTCAGCTCTGCAGCCAATTTGCAATTCAACTTTTTGCAAAACACTGCACACGGTTCTCTGAGTAAGACACAGAAATCTGACATAGTCACTTGTGATTATATAATACTGCACACATCGACCAGTTAACACCAAACTGCTTTATTGTTGATTCAGCAATCAGGATGTAAGCAGTAGAAAAAGGCTTCAAGTAAGAACTTTTTACAACAGAAAGTGAAGAAAATGTTTTAGGAATTGAACCAAAACTTTAATTGGATTATATTTAAAGATTTACATGAAATGAAAGTAATGCAATGAAGGTAAAGTTTGTGGATTAGATACAAAGACTGCGGGCTGAAAAAGGCTGAGTGTCAGGCCTTCTGGGAGAAACAGAAGAATGAAGGAATTAGAAGATTGTAGCACCTGAGCACAGGATACGCTCGCACGCACGCACGCACGCACGCACGCACGCACGCACGCACGCACGCACGCACGCACGCACACACACACACACACACACACACACACACACACACACACACACACACATAAAATAACAAACCATTATACCTCTGATTACCACTTTACATCCTTTCAGGGGGAAACGCTGAATACGGTAAACACAGATCAAAACCAAACACTTCCTCTGAAGCTGCTCCATCATTTACACAACAACAACAACAACAACGGCATTTCCTCACAGCGCTGTTTGTGCAGATATCCAGAGGACGTCTTGCATTAACTAAACACACCAAACTGTTTCATCGGTCAGACATTGAATTAAAATGCTCATGTTTGTCCTGCTTCAGGACAGTTGCTCATTATAGGAAGGCTCTCTAAAAGAGGATAATTGGACACTTTTTTTTACACAACAACAGAGAGAGCGGGAGATAATGAGCATCCTCTGCCAGGCGCCGGTAAGAAGAGGAGAATCAGAGCGACACAAGTGAAGGAGAGCTCAAGATGTTCTCGTTGTTGGAGGAAAATGGGTGGTGGGGGAGGCATTGTTAGAATACAGAGAGCAGTAAAGAGAGAGTCTTCTCTGATGTGCAGCGAGAAAAACAAGGCAGAGAAAAGATTGCTTCCTCTTGTGTTCACAATTAAAGTACAACGAGGTGTCGGGAACTACAGTATCTGAGGTTTGCTGCAACATCACACGTACAGTTAGCTCCTTCTGTCGGTTTAAAGAGTCCTCTCCTGCTGATGTTCAGGTGTATATCAGTATGTAGAGTCTCTACTTTAAAGAGTCCTCTCCTGCTGATGTTCAGGTGTATATCAGTATGTAGAGTCTCTACTTTAAAGAGTCCTCTCATGCTGATGTTCAGGTGTCTATCAGTATGTAGTGTCTCTACTTTAAAGAGTCCTCTCCTGCTGATGTTCAGGTGTATATCAGTATGTAGTGTCTCTACTTTAAAGAGTCCTCTCATGCTGATGTTCAGGTGTCTATCAGTATGTAGTGTCTCTACTTTAAAGAGTCCTCTCCTGCTGATGTTCAGGTGTATATCAGTATGTAGTGTCTCTACATGTCTCCATGCTTTAATGTTCAAAAAGCTTTGTTTAGTTTCTTACGGTAATTAACAGAAAACATCTGTATGCTGGAGCACAAAGAAATAATGCAGACAGAAGATACGGACAAACCTGCTCCCTGAAGACCAGTGACTTACATTTACTCTGAGGGTGTGTGTGTGTGTGTGTGTGTGTGTGTGTGTGTGTGTGTGTGTGTGTGTGTGTGTGTGTGTGTGTGTGTGTGTGTGTGTGTGTGTGTTAAAGAGAGAGCAACCACTCAAGCAAGAAGGAGTCCAGAGGTTGGAAAATATACACAGTCTACTGATGTCCCCCCAAGGGACATTAACAAACACACACACACACACACACACACACACACACACACACAAACACACACACACACACACACACACACACACACACACATGCACACACACTGAATCTTTATATGTCAATGCACCCCCTTTCTAGATTGCTTTTATGCAGAAATAAAAACGAGGAATATACTGTAGTGCCATTTGTCATTTTCATTTCTTCCTTCAGGGCTTTTTTTATACAGTTTGATCTGTATTATTGCCTATCACATGGTAAATATCACATTTTAATTTCAATATTTTTGCTTATACGTGTATAGATGTTGTGTATTTTCTTGTGTTTGACAACCAATAGGACATACACCGTGGTTCTAAGATGTGTCCTAACCCCAGAATAGGTGTACGTGCACTTCTTATTTCAAAAGAAAGAGTGGGATTGTTATTTTTTTGTCTTTCTAGTGTTGTCAGGATATTTAACAAATCAATATGCATGTGAGGAAATCTGACACTTTGGATCAAACTCTGTCTCCCCCTGCTGCGTCTGATTCTCATTACTGCCTGTTTCAAACCACTAGGGTTTGTGGACTGAATCTGAATCTTTTTGGAATATTATATTTATTATACCAGTGGATAATAATGCATTCATGTGTTTTTATCATTTAAATTCTGCAGCTGCTAAAGGTGGAATTAACTTTAATTACTTTTTATACAGCCAGGTATCCTAATCCATAAACATAATGCATTTACTTTTTGTAATAAAGATGACACATATTTTAAAGAGTCCTCTCCTGCTGATGTTCAGGTGTATATCAGTATGTAGTGTCTCTACTTTAAAGAGTCCTCTCCTGCTGATGTTCAGGTGTATATCAGTATGTAGTGTCTCTACTTTAAAGAGTCCTCTCTTGCTGATGTTCAGGTGTATATCAGTATGTAGTGTCTCTACTTTAAAGAGTCCTCTCCTGCTGATGTTCAGGTGTATATCAGTATGTAGTGTCTCTACTTTAAAGAGTCCTCTCCTGCTGATGTTCAGGTGTATATCAGTATGTAGTGTCTCTACTTTAAAGAGTCCTCTCTTGCTGATGTTCAGGTGTATATCAGTATGTAGTGTCTCTACTTTAAAGAGTCCTCTCCTGCTGATGTTCAGGTGTATATCAGTATGTAGTGTCTCTACTTTAAAGAGTCCTCTCCTGCTGATGTTCAGGTGTATATCAGTATGTAGTGTCTCTACTTTAAAGAGTCCTCTCCTGCTGATGTTCAGGTGTATATCAGTATGTAGTGTCTCTACTTTAAAGAGTCCTCTCCTGCTGATGTTCAGGTGTATATCAGTATGTAGTGTCTCTACTTTAAAGAGTCCTCTCCTGCTGATGTTCAGGTGTATATCAGTATGTAGTGTCTCTACTTTAAAGAGTCCTCTCCTGCTGATGTTCAGGTGTATATCAGTATGTAGTGTCTCTACTTTAAAGAGTCCTCTCCTGCTGATGTTCAGGTGTATATCAGTATGTAGTGTCTCTACTTTAAAGAGTCCTCTCCTGCTGATGTTCAGGTGTATATCAGTATGTAGTGTCTCTACTTTAAAGAGTCCTCTCCTGCTGATGTTCAGGTGTATATCAGTATGTAGTGTCTCTACTTTAAAGAGTCCTCTCCTGCTGATGTTCAGGTGTATATCAGTATGTAGTGTCTCTACTTTAAAGAGTCCTCTCCTGCTGATGTTCAGGTGTATATCAGTATGTAGTGTCTCTACTTTAAAGAGTCCTCTCCTGCTGATGTTCAGGTGTATATCAGTATGTCGTGTCTCTACTTTAAAGAGTCCTCTCCTGCTGATGTTCAGGTGTATATCAGTATGTAGTGTCTCTACTTTAAAGAGTCCTCTCCTGCTGATGTTCAGGTGTATATCAGTATGTAGTGTCTCTACTTTAAAGAGTTCTCTCCTGCTGATGTTCAGGTGTATATCAGTATGTAGTGTCTCTACATGTCTCCATGCTTTAATGTTCAAAAAGCTCTTTATTTTTCTCATACTGTCTGTGCTGCAGCACCTCTTTTCACCCTCTGTCTGAAACCAGAGCCCAGTCTGCTCTGATTGGTTAGCTGGCAGGCTCTGTTGTGATTGGTCAACAGCTTAGAGATGTCCCACCCCTTAGCCTATCGCGTACAATGTGTTGGAGCATAGTCTTGTCACTTTGTTCAGGAAGTTAATTTCCACCACTTTTGGAAATCAACCGATTGGCTGTTTCTCAGTTGTGTCACCTCAATCAATCTCGATCTTTATTTATTTATATAGCACATTTAAAACCACCTCAGTTGACCAAAGTGCTGTACAGGGAACAAATACAATATAAAAACACAATGGGACTAAAATAATAAAACCATAATTAAAAAAATTATAAAAAGCACAATAACTAGAAACATATAAAAACACATACAAATGTAAAAATGTTACATTCAACTTGTATTAAAAGCCAGTGCAAAGAGGTGACTTTTTAGCTGAGATTTAAAAAGTTCAATAGCACACCTCTGATGCTCCATAAAGTTCTTCACATTTGGTCGAACGCGAGTGTTACAAAGGATTTCTCCAAGGTCACACACACTTCCCAGCACACTGAGGAGCTGCCAGTGAGAGCGCCCTGCTCAGAGGTTCTGGCAGAGGTTCTGGCAGAGGACTCAGCTGCACTTCCTGCCAAATGGCCGATGATCAGTTATCCATTTCATTAAAACAGATTGCCTCAGCCGACCATGAACAGCTTGAGGTGCAAGTGTGTTATGTAAGATGGCAGAACAATGACACCATAAGAAAAGAAGAACCCAAGATATATTTAATTCTCAAAATGATTTTATTTATAGGAAAAACTGACTATAATTAACCCCTAAATGGTTTCTGTATCCTAGGGGTTACAGTCATTTGACAGGCTATGTCAATGTGTAACATGCGTGTAATAATGGTGTTATACGGGTTTCATATGGGTCTAAAAACTGTGAAAAATTGGTGTTATATGAGTGTAATACGGGTGTAACAATGGTGTAACATGTGTGTAATATGGGTCTAATAAGAGTGTTATATAGGTGTAATAACAGTGTAACATGTGTAATATATGAGTGTGATACAGGTGTAACAATGTGTGTAATAGGAGTGTATTAGTGTGTAATGTGGTTGTTATATTACAGTTTTATATTGGTATGATAGGGGTGTAATAACAGTGTCATTACTGTGTAACTTGGGAGTAATAACACTGTAACATGAGTATAATAATGGTGTGATAATAGTGTAACATGAGTATAATAATGGTGTGATAATAGTGTAACATGAGTATAATAATGGTGTGATAATAGTGTAACACGAGTATAATAATGGTGTGATAATAGTGTAACACGAGTATAATAAGGGTGTTATAATAGTGTAACATGAGTATAATAATGGTGTGATAATAGTGTAACATGAGTATAATAATGGTGTGATAATAGTGTAACATGAGTATAATAAGGGTGTTATAATAGTGTAACATGAGTATAATAATGGTGTGATAATAGTGTAACATGAGTATAATAATGGTGTGATAATAGTGTAACATGAGTATAATAATGGTGTGATAATAGTGTAACATGAGTATAATAATGGTGTGATAATAGTGTAACATGAGTATAATAAGGGTGTTATAATAGTGTAACATGAGTATAATAATGGTGTGATAATAGTGTAACATGAGTATAATAATGGTGTGATAGTGTAACATGAGTATAATAAGGGTGTGATAATAGTGTAACATGAGTATAATAATGGTGTGATAATAGTGTAACACAAGTATAATAAGGGTGTTATAATAGTGTAACATGAGTATAATAATGGTGT